AATGCGCGCAGGAGAGAGGAGGAGAAGGGTTTGCACTGTGAGTTTCCAGCCACATTCTGAGAGAATCGCGCTTAGACGGCTGGAACAGCGCTCCATAGTCTTCAAGGCGCTCTTGGGAAGACGTCTGGGCGAAGCTACAAAGCGGCTCCTCGACAACTTCTCCAAGTCGACGACGCATCGACTTCGCCAACGCTTGCACACGCTCATGCTCACATCTCCAAGGAAGATGCGAAGGACAAGCCCAGCGAGGGTGCGGCCAAGGAGGCAGCGAAACTCAGTCGGGAGACCTTGGGCGGCGTACGTTCCTTCAAGTTATATCATTTAGACACTCATTCACATGTCTTGCAGACCGGAAATGTCGTCAGAAAAGATCCCCTCACCCGTCGCCAGGTGTTGACGGCTCTTGAAGCTATGTATGATCTCGTTCTCAAGGTCGAGCATCTGCGACGGGAGCAGCCTTCGCAGGAAGAGGAGGAAGCGGCTCAACATTGGTATGTCTGACCCGACAAATCTTGGTATCTATCCTCAATCTCGACAGGCAAAAGGAGTACGACGACCTCGTCGAGCAGCTCTGGGAAGGTCTTAAAGTCATGGTGCCTTTAGAGACCAGGTACGAGTATTATTCTCATGACCTGGGCGCTGAAACTCATGAAGCATATAGCAATCCTCATCCCTTCGTTTCTTTGCTATCTCCGAGCAAGGGCAAAAAACTTCTGCCGCGCCTCACCCGCCATATTGGTTCCTCGCGCATGCTCACGCTCATGACCCTCCTCGTTGCGTGCTTCACGCAATTAGACGTTGTGAAGGAGGCGCCGCTGCTGGACGCACTCGAGGACTCCCCGGAGCGCGCTGAAACAGAGCGCCAGACCCAGGCTTTCCTTGGCAGTGTTTTGCAAAGCATCCTCCCGATTGTTGCCAACCTTGAGCTGCATGTCGTGACCGCACTCTTGGGGCTTTTGATCGACCGCAGCCATGACATCGCCGCCGTCGCGAAGACCAAGGTGAACTACATCTAGTTGCTGATTCATTCGGGCTGAACCGCGTAATTGTAGCCCGGATTGGCGCTCCTCACATTGTTCCTCAGCCGGGTGGAGGTTATCAAGCAGGCATGGTCGACAGGCGCCGAACCGGTAGACGTTATGAGCGCCCAAGCTTCTCTTGAGCAATGGTGAGCGACCCAACGACGCTGGTTGTTTTCATCGATGCTGACTCGCATGCAGGCAAGCTGTATTCGACCAATTCTTTGTCCTCCTCACTCCTCACTTCCTCGCCCTATTCCCGTCGAGTCGCATCACGCTGTCGGCGCACCATCCCACCAGTGCCGCCCTGGCTATCGACATCATCGACCAGCCGGTGTGGCAGTTCCTGGCTGCGCTGGCGTTGCAGGCGGCCCCGGAACAACATCAGGTGCTGGTGACCTCCCTGCGCGACAAGGTGCTCGAGAACGTGTTGAGCGCCAACAAGGGTTGGGTGGCGGACGAGGATGAGAGGCGAACAAAGCTAGCAAATGTAAATCTATTCCTGCACGCGCTTGGTCTCGATAGTTCGCAGATCGCGCTGTAGTGGGATGAATATATATATTTCTTTACGATTACCTTCAAGTTTGATATGGTATGAGGTAATTTCCCAATACGGCAATCACAGTTGGGGGAGATGGCAAACACACGTCGTCGGTCTACGTGGAACTAGTTTTGTACGGAAATCCCAACCTTCATTTATTCGCCAGCGACTCCCGGTCTGTCGTGCTGGCTGCAACCCTGGACCCATGCTTTCCTTCTACTCCCTCCCCCTATTTTTCCTGAGCCTCGCGGGCCTTCTCCACGCCAAATCCAGCGATGGAGACTCTGTTCTCGTGCTGGTCGAGGACGCCCACAAGAAGGACTTCAGTCTCTTCTTCGACGACTTGAAAGGTGTGCTGCGCGCGTATTCCAATGCAATTTCCTTAATTCCCGGTTAGAGCAGGGATACAGTCTTACATTCCGTGCACCCAAGGACGAGAAACCAGCTATAGTCGAGTATGATGTCCCAGCATTCTCTCACATTATTATTCTGGCCTCGGAATCCAAAAGTGCGTGCATTCAGCCCAACTTAACACGAGTCCTCACGGTTGCCCAGATTTCGCCAAGGATATCACACCTCAGTCTCTCGTCGAAATCGTGTCCGGCGGCACAAACCTCCTCATTGGTCTCTCTCCCAAGCAAACACCGCTTTCTTCCCTGGCTGCCGAATTCTCTCTTATCCTCCCTCCCCCCGGCACGCCTTTGATCTCGTTCTTCCCCGAACGCAAGGACCCCGTCTCGGTGATCCCGATTGACGCGTCCTTGCCGTCCACAATCTTGCCCGCAATGTCGCCCGTGTGGTTCTCCGGCGTCCCCTTTGCCCACGGAAACAACCCGCGGCTCGTGCCCATTCTGCACGCGCCCGCAGAGAGCTTCGCCGCGGACTCGCAGGGCGGCGCCGACGTCCTGGTCGATGCAACCGAGAAAGGCGGCGAAGGTCTGTGGGCCGGCAGCCAGCTCAGCGTCGCGAGCGGCTTCCAGGCTGCTGGCGGCGCTCGGGTTACCTGGCTCGGCGGAGTCGATATGCTCAGCGACAAGTTCTTCAAGAAGGAGGTGTCCAAGTATGTTTCTCTTGTTTCACCTACTACTACCTCAACTCAATATTTCCGTAGAGCCAAGTCCGGTAACGCCAGGTTCGCGCGTGAGGTGTCCGCGTGGACGTTCCAGGAGTCGCTCGTGTTGCGCATCGACAGCACGACGCACCACCTCGTCAACTCCACGACGCCGGAAGAGCACTACACCACCAACGACAACATCGTGTTCACCGCGCACATTTCGCGCTTCCACCCCAAGACCGCGACGTGGGAGCCGTATTCCGGCGTCAAGGACCTGCAGCTCGAGTTTACGATGCTGGACCCGCACATCCGGACTGCCCTGCCGGCGGTCGCGGGATCGCCCGGGACGTACTCTGTGACCTTCCGCGCCCCGGACCGCCACGGTGTGTTTAAATTTGTGGTCGACTATAAACGAAAAGGGTACGGACGATGCCGCGCTTTGGGGGATACGGTCTGCTAACGAACGGGCCGCACACAGATGGACGCACCTCCACAGCTCGACCACGGTCGCGCTTGTCCCTCCGCGCCACGACGGATACCCGAGATTCCTCAGTGCTGCCTGGCCCTATTATGCAGGCGCCATCAGCACCAGCGTGGCGTTCTTTGTCTTCTCCGCTGCCTGGTTGGCGGGCGAGTCGCGCGAGGGTAAAAAGGCCAAAGGGGGCAAGGCCCAGTAGGGATGTCGTATAGACTTGTAACATTGCTCTCAAATGCTTTGCCGCTATCGCTGGACACATATAAGAGGGGGAGCGGAAGGTATTATTCCAGTCTAGTGTCATTCTAATATGTACGAAGGAGGGACAAGGTCGAATAAGTAAACTAGGATGCATGCTGGCCCGGCGTGACAGTCTATGACAGGATCCGTCAACCGCACGTTTGTCGCAAAAAAGAAAAGACGAACGTTGATTACTTGCCACCGGTAGTCCCCATACCCATCGCGGCCTTGAACGAATCGTAGATCCACCATTGGAAGCCAGTGAGGGTACCTAAAGCGGAAAATAAACATCGGGATGTGGACAAGTAGCGGATTGAACGCACCAATCATGAGAACACGGGTGCCCAGTCCCTTTGTCGCGAGTGTGCCAAAGCCGACCTCGGAGGTGATCTGTCCGACGGATTTGCCCTTGTTTTCTGCCTTGCCGAGGAGAGAGACGAGAGAATCGGCCGGGTGGGAGACGATGGCGCAGACGACACCGGCGAGGTAACCGGAGGCAAAGGTGACGCCGAGCTGGGTGGGTTTGCTGTAGGTGTCCTTGGGCTCGGTGAAGACGTGGGTGTAGAACAGTTGGACGATCTTCTCGAAGAAGAAGAACTTGGCCATGGTGTAGGGGATCTGCGAGCAGCATGTAAATACACGCCAAAATCGCGAAAAAAATCCAAAGACGAACCTGACGCGACCATAGAGGACCGAGGGAGCCGAAGGGGAAGCGGGGTCTCGACTTTTGTCGCGTTCATCTTTGCGATGGCGGCGCCAAAGCCGGTGGGGAAGGTTCCGGTCGCGCTGGTCTGGATTTTGACCTTTGTCATCTCCAGCGGGCAGAGGGCGATGTCGGCAAAGACTTCGGCAGAGGCGGACCCAGCAAGCCAGATGGCGGGCTTGTACTTGTTGGACAGGTCCTCGCCAGCAAGGTTCATGTAGGTGTCCTTGAATATTTCGTAGAGACCGTACTTGAACATGCCCTGGAGGGAGTAGCCGACGAGGGTGGGCCCGAAGCCTTTCCAGATACCGGTCTGCCCCTCCTCTTTCATGAGGAGGCTCAGGGAGGGGAAAAGGCCCTTGTATTTGACGGGGTTGACCTTTTGGAAAAAAAAAAGTGAGTGAGCCGATGCAGACGCAAACGCGTGGATTCATGGACGGACCTGCATGTTACATTTTGCGACATCGAGGGGGGTGATACCGGCGTGGGTGAAGCCACATGCAACGGCGCCGCCGAGCATGCACTTGGAGTAGTAGCTGGCATCGTGAGGTACGGGTCCGAGGGACCTAGAAAAGGATGAGTGAGCTATGAGAGGGCCTAGAAGAGAGGCACAGACCGGGCGTCCCATTTTACGAGGGAGGGGGCGGACATGGGTGGTCGTCTAGATGAAGTCTAGGGTGAAGAGGTTTCTTGATGTGAGCTGGCCCACTGCCGACCGATTCCTTCCGCTTTGGCTTTGTTGATCAGTCCGCGATCGGCGCCCGTGTGCAATCTTTTATGACATGTACCACTTGTATTTTCACGAGTTTCGTCTTTTACCAGAGGACGCATACTGTATTCTTGTCTATTTATTCTTGTGCAGACCAAGTATCGCCATTCGAGAGCTTGTTTAAACGCTGTCTGGATGCGATGTAGTGACGCAGGCCAGCGGAACCACGGTCTCACGCGTGGAAGAAGCAAAAAAGGAAAACCGCCGATGGGGCTCGAACCCACAACCTTTGCCTGACCTGACCTGCTTAATAGGAAGGCAACGCACTACCTTTGTGCTACGGCGGCTTTTTGTTTCCCCAACAACATCGGTGAGATTGGTCTTGTACCAACAGGTCGAGGTCTGTCCCATCTTGGGCTCCATGTTCCTGTTGGTGATGCCGGTCGTCTCAAATATGACCACCACCTAGCTCGTCTGCGCTGGGAAGTCGATTTCTGGGTTGGCTTAGTGGTGCAAACACTGACTCATTGCCTTTCTGCTCAACTTGATCTTGGCGACACTCCAGATTGGAGTAACGGCGAAGCATTGAAAGCATGGCTGCTCGACGTCAAAGCTCAAGCAGAGGGCTTCCTTCATGCTGCTGGCATCACCGCTGCTCTCGAGGTCGCCAAGAGCCGCGCGCGCAGAGCAGAGCTGGCGGTAACGTTCCTCCGCACCGTCATGAGCTCATTACAAGGAGGTACCACACGCAATTACAAGAGACGCACTGGCGCGCTGCTCAACTCGATGCAATCCTCACTCATGCCCACCTGCTCGACTCGCTCGATCTGCCTCCAGACCCAGACCATCTTGCACCATACGCCCATCCCATCCTCTCTGATACCTTTTCATCCTGGTTCATGGGGTTGAAGGATGGGACCGACATTGTCTATGCAGCGAATGCACTCGGGCGCTCGGACAAAGCGATGAAGGTTATTAAGCTTCGGACGGCAAAGTTTGTTGAATCCAATTGCCAAACCAAGCTGTCAATGCTCCAGACAGCGCGGAATGGCATGATAGGTGCTATGTGTAAGCTGATTTCGCCCCGCTCCTACGAAGTCAGCGACATTCAGTACTGTTACCGGCTTGTCCACTGTCTGCATTGCGAGTGGTCAGGACTGGGTCTCCATAATGGCTCTGTCCACGAATGCAGTGTATGCGGCATGCTCACCATCAGCGAGTCAAACTTTCCGGATCTTGAGTGTGTCCTCTATGTCCATGATGTCCTTCATGATCCCGCATCCCTGATTCTCGGTGACCTTGCATGTCAGCAACGGCCTCTGGGTCGGCTAAACAGTGAGTAACCCGACGAGAACCCCAACCAGGATAAACCTGATAGACGCTAGTAGCTCGTGTGTTCCCCGAGCAGTAGGACCAGTCGTACGGCGTCCTCCCTAGGAGGCCGTATGTCGTAGGTCGGGATGTGAGGCGGAACCCAGAACGAGTCAAAGAGGGTGTGATATCCACTCAGGTATACAACCCGGGGTGTGGATATAACCCGTAGTACGGTGCGAAGGAAGCGGGACAGGGTGGAGACAATGCCTATGTCAAGCCAAGGTAGAAGCCTGAGATTAGACGAGGTAGAATCTACTGTACATGGAGATTCTACCGTGCTTATATAGGCTTCTAATAAATTAAAGCGATCGCGGTCAATCGCGATCAGTTCCTGCACCGTAGCATTAAGGAGCATTAATGCTGATGCTCCTGGACTCCTCTGTGTTGGTTTCCGTGGCGTCGGTGGACCTAGGAGACCCGACGTTCGGGTTTCCTAGTCCTAAGTGTCATCGTATCCAGTGGTTCAGACCCCGATCGGGTTTGCAACCACTCCTGTACTTCGTGTACGCTTCTATGTCAGCCCTTGGTGCGTCCGGGGACTAGAGTCCGTCTGTACGGGTTCCTAGTCCCTAACATCTTCTGTATCCCGTGCAGACTCCCTGAGTCTGCGGCTTTAGAATCCGAGGCTGGGTTTCAACCGTGAGAAGGTCACGTGGTGGCGTCATGAGAGTCCCGTGCCGCTAAGACGCATCTGTATCCATACGGACGCGTCGCGCGAAAAAGTAGAACCCGGGTGATTCATGACATTTATGCCAGTGAAAGCAATTGCCGCTCGCATTTGTGAATGCCAAACCCGGTATTTTTCTATCCTCGGACTGGGTGCATGTCCAAGACACCTCAACCCCTTGATGTGTCTTCCAACAATGTTTTACTCGTGAATACGGTCCCGAACAATAATCCTGGGGGCACAGAGTTTCAGTTCGATGGTACTGGCGAGTTAGATTGGCTCTTTGCGAACGTGATTCAGGGCGGTGGTCATTCCATTGTTCCCTCAAGTCAGCTCGACTAGAATGCCAGCGGGCGCGACTTGCTCGACCCATCTTCTTCGACCAGCACCGGGGGGATTGTTTTTGAAGGGTGGGATACGAACACTGTTTCCACCGAGTCCGAGCTTCCGATTTTACTCCCACTCACACGTCGTCCCCATACTTGTCCCCCGCTGCTCTCCAAGTCATCTCACCTCCTCCCATCGAGGCCTTGAACGCCAACATCGATGAACACAACATTGTTCATTTTTTATGCATTCGGAATCCGACCAAACGTGCATTGGAAACTGTCGGAACTGCTGTTCAATGGAGGGCAAAAACCGAGGAGAAAACATGCGAGTTCCTGTGTTATGTTTGTCTATCGTTGCCTTTTTGCTTATTCCTCCCTCAGTGATTTATGGTTGTGGTTCGGCGTCCACCAAATGAATTACCTACGTATATGTATTTTCTTTATTACAATAGATGGAGTCTTTGAATCAACAATGGATTAATGAGAATATGAAAGGCCTCATGGCACTGAACCGACAGTGGCACAAGTGGCAACTACAACTTTCGACTCGAACACTGTTCAAGGCAACGATTGAATGTTTTTCAAGCCCGGATGACAACATCAATGTCGCTGATCTCGATCGTTGCGCCCGGAATGCCTGTGTTCAAGAATTTTCATGTCATGTACACCTTTTTTCAATGCTGGATCTTACACTAGCTATACATTCAGTTGAATACACTTTTTTTTTTTTGTAGATGCGAATGCAACTTTGTCCCCGTTGATGCTTGCTTCTCGTCGGCCAACATTCCTTGTGGCAATATCTCAATGCGTTGGCTTCCTCGTGATGGGTGCTGGTGCCTGTCTGGATTTTGGTGTAAACAGAGCTATGGGGCTTGGTACGCACGCCTTGAGTAGTACAGACCGGCAAGACAAGGAATAATGTTGAATCCTCTGATTGCTTGTCTTCTGTGGCTCTCGGACTGGGACTGACGTCTTTTGGGTTTTGAACGCACGGGTTTCTGTGTGAGACTGTCTGAGCGCGTCAGTGGCTGCAAAGCCTTGCAAGTAGAAATCCTTTTTTGGATAGGGGCTGACTGTCAACACGTCTCGTCCTCCTCTCCACTTCCCTCTGCCCCACCCTACCCAATCCTACTCCATGATGACTTCCAGAAAGCGTCCAGTATGTAGCATACAGATCCGTTGGCCGCTTCCTCATGATCACTTATTCTGTTGCAGGCTGAAGGTGAAGCCAAATGTGATGGGTTTGAGCTTCGCATGAAGCTCTTCTCTTGGATCTGAAGACCAGAACGGAGCGCGCAGCACTCTATGCAGTCCTGTGGATTGTACAGAGCCTGTAACTTATAAGCTGAGAAGGGGCGAGTCCTCGCCCGTAGGCGGGACTCTAGCGCTTGACGCTGCTGTTGTCGTTGTGACCCCCGCCAGGGCTCCCGCGACCTGGAGTAGGGAGCTGAGGGGAGTGGAAAGGCTCAGCCCCAAGTCACACGACTCATGCGGCCCGTTGACTCTCTTCGAGCACGGATGGGCGGTGAATGTTGTGTGCAAGTATAATATGATTATCTAATACAATGTGGCAGTGTGTTCCGTGGAATACTGACTAAGCTACCTAGTTAGGTGAACACCTCTGAGTCGTTATAAGTGGACGGAATATCCACAGAGCCCTCCACGGGTCAGAGCGCATTCACATTCCAATGCATTGAAATTCCAGGAACGTAGCTTGAAAGCCATTTGCAAGATAATGAATCCACTGTGCTGGACTCGGAGAAGTTCACTCTGAAGTGTCCAGCATTTTTGAAAAAAAATTGGCCCAATAATTTGGGTAAGAGCTCCTCGCTGAGGCACTGATTGCGAGGGCCACCGGCCTCACAGCCTAGGCTGTCATCCACTCTGTGGTACGACAACGAGAACATAATACGGTGGTCTGACATGAAGACTAAGCTTCAGTCAATGCACCAGAGTCATAAGGACTCTGTATTCTGTTCAGTGACTTGATATTGCATTCAGCAGACACAGTCTACCTCATGCCATCAAGGAGGAAAGGAGGAAGAGGGAATACAACTCTCTGATGTCCTGCATGTCTTCAGCATCAGAGAGGAGGAGCTGATGCTCCTCATCCCAGTGTATCCCTCTGGGTGGTCGCTCTGAGATAGCGAATCCAAGAGTCCTCTTTGACTGCATCCATGCATGATAAGTTGATCTCAGATACAGGATCTGAGAATCACACAGGGAGGAGGGACAGAACAACTCTCCGATGCGCGGACCATATCTTTGCCATCGGAGAGGAGGGGCTGTGAACTCCTCTTCCACTATATCCATGTGTTGAGGAATCTGCTCATAGACCAGCGTAGGATTTACTCCGTAAACCTCTACATATATCCCCTACAGCCCTCCACTTATTTGCCGCGCTTTACGATGTGCAACAAATAATTACCGGGTCGAGACCACCAAGGAGATGAACATGAAGAGAATTGAAACTGGTTCAAGACCCAAGTAATCCGTGCGGCGGAGAAAAAAATCTTGGCCCAAAAATCCAAGGGTGACAAGGGTAATGTTTGGGCCATGGCAGACGTAACGGAGCTCACGCGGATGGAGCTCACGGAAAAAGGGAATGCTTTCTTGTCAAGCAGTAAGACAACGGTCATCTAGACCAGATTGAAAGCCCTCCAGGGAATTACGTAGCCCTCCAGAGTGCGGTGGAGAACAAGGCCGCACGAGCCGACTCGACTTGACACCTACGTGCTGAAGCCCATATTTAATCATGTGACATTTCAGCCCTCCGGTAGTGGGAACACACCCTCCAAGATGAACCACGAAAGCCCTCCAGAGCAGATATAATGAGAGTTGAGGATGCCTTGTGCAAGCACAGCTGCGATGGCCTTGATGCCGCGGAAGGAAGTAGACAGAGTCTTGAATCCTTCTCGGCCTCGACATCTTCTGTTGTGTACATAGTTCATAATGGTTGGCACAGATGTGTAGTCAA